TTAGCCAGTATCTATTTTAATATTATTTTCTTTACGTAACATCTTAAATATAAAATTGATTCTTTTGCTTGATTCATTTAATACGACTTATAAAAACATTTTTCAGGATATTTAAAGCCAAAAAAGACTTTTCAGAACAGAACTTTTTTTTTGCTGGGAAATAATAATGATTTAGTGATACAAGTCTTACTAATTAACCCATAGGTTTTCCAACAATGTTTATGAATTTCTTCACATTGTACAGAAGATGACGGTAAGATCTCGTGCACCAACAGAGTAACATTAATTACTACAGAGATTCCTAGAAACATTTGAGCTAGTCACCGATTTCTTATGCTATTTATTTTTAATTCCAGACTTACTGTGAAAGTTCAGGATTTAGTTCTGCATATTTTTAGCAATACACTGTATTTGAAAAAACAAAATAGCGATAAGATTCTCGCTTGTCAATGCCAGGGAAAATGAAAACGTTAGAAATTCTTGATTGTTACATATTTTTTTGTAAAATTCATTATTTGCTGAAGAACAAATCTTCTGTAATCTGCGCAAGTGCTTTCTTATTACACAGAAATGTTTTTTTTTTATCGATGTCTTTTATTCTTTTCATTTTTTTTTTTCAAAAGTGTTTGGATTATTTGAACTGGTGGGATTTATTTAAGTAGTTAAAACTAACAGAACGTAAAACCCCAAGTGATTTCCGTTTCGATTATTTTGGGAATTCCATACAAAAATCACAGAACGCAGGAGGTGCTGAAAAATTCTAAGCTCGAAGTGTTTAAAAAATTGATGTATATTCACATGTTCAGACTTTGCAAATTGGGCCGAAATAAATATTTCAGTTCCTGCTTGTAGATTTAAGTAGCACTGGCACATATTAAATCTCTCTAAAAACATAAATAACATATAATATAAATATATATATATATATATATATATATATATATATATATATATATATATATATATATATATTGAACAATAAATATATATTAAAAAATTAAAATCTTCAGACACACTGGGTTGTAGATTAATATTCTTTCGTTTTTTTATTATTTCATTTAGATTCCTTGACTAGTTTCGGCCAAAATGGCCATCATCAGGAGAAGAAATATTTCTGCTTGCTGGTATCAGTAAACTACTGAAATGAATATCTTGATGGAGAAAATGAACTTTTGTCTGTAATTTTCATTTGTTTTTTTTTATTTTTTTTATTTTTTAACATGAATCTTTTAACATTTTTGTGTTGGCCAAACAGTCTCTTTTAATTTGTTATTTGAGATGAGAGCTGGATGGATCTATGCTTCTCTGAAATCCCTTGGTCAGTTTGACAGTTTATTGGTCCTGGAGAGGGGATGTGTCTCTGTTTAGTGTTTGTGTGTGTGTGTGTTGTTTGGTTCTTAGGGAGGGGTGAGTATGATATGTGTAACCTGTATATATATATATATATATATATATATATATATATATATATATATATATATATATATATATAGATATGTATAAAATAGATATGTATAAATATAAAAATAGCCATTTTGTTTTGTGTCATCAAGCGATGAATACACCAGAAGTGTTGAAACAAAATGGCTATTTTTTAGTGATTTTATAAAATATTTGTTATAATTTTCGAATAAATAATGATATTTCCTTTACTATTTATTGAGCACTCTTTTAAGAATAGTATTTTTTTGGTTATTGGAATTTATTCCGTATGCAATCCTATCCTATACTTACATACATATACATATATATATATATATATATATATATATATATATATATATATATATATATATATATATATATATATATATATATATTGTGTGTATAATGTAAATTTTATTAATTCGTCTATGTATATGGTCTATGTTAATGAAAACAGTCATCAGAGATTTAAAATTAAATTCGATTTTTTATTATATATATATATATATATATATATATATATATATATATATATATATATATATATATATATATATTCTCATTCACAGAGGCGGTAAATTGAATTGACAGTTTTTAAGTGTTTGTGAAACGATTCTATCAGCGAAATGTTTAAGTTACTGACATTTATTTGAAGTTTTTAAAAAGATTTGGAAATCACATTTACACTATATATAAGTCTTACCACAAGATAGTGAGCCGTTTGTTAACTATCACTTATTTTACAGGATGAATTACGTTTCAAATATACATATATATTAGGTTGGTGCAAAAATAATGACGGAATAATGTCGTTTTTTGACGTTAGAAAATACGTCAAAAACGACATTATTACGTCACCAACTAATATATATATATATATATATATATATATATATATATATATATATCAGTTACTTTTATTCCTTATTGCAAAAAGAACTTTCATGACTCTTTCAGTGACTATCGCGACTGCTTTAATATTTAACATACCTTACTAATACTCCTTTCTCTCACATATATCCATCTTCTGTCTTTTCGTACAGACTTTGCGGGCCGTTAGGTAACAAACTTTTTCTCCTTCTATTAATGTCTCTTCATGTTATGCGCTACTGTCTACTTTGTTTTGGTCGCTTAATTACTACAAGACTTCATTTCGTTGTCTTCTTCGACGTTCTCTGTTGAAACTATTCGAAATTCTAGTGTCAAAATTTCACATTCAAAATATAATTGCACATAGCGCGATACACTAATATAAGACAGATGCTAATACTATCGACATAAGACGCGGAAGTAAGTAAACGCCTTCTCGCACTAAAAATACTTATAGAAATAATAGCGGGAAATATGTCTATAATCTTGAACTGTCAATTGAAAGAATTTTAAGAAATATCTATCTATCTATCTATCTATCTATCTATCTATCTATATATATATATATATATATATATATATATATATATAAATATATATATATATGTATGTATGTATGTATGTATGTATCCAAGTATAGGATTGGTGTATACGAATAAATTCCAATAACCAAATATATTTATATATATATGTATATATATATATATATGTATATTTATATGTATGTATATATATATATATATATATATATATATATATATATATATATATATATATATATATATATATATAAATTAGTCGATTTTATTTGTTAATCCGATATATATTTATTATTTTAAACGTTATTTTTCGTAGATTAACTGAGTTTGAGTAGATACTCCGTTTATTTTAAAGTATTATTTCGTGTACCTGTCGCAACAATCAAGAAATCTTTAAAAAATGCGCTCTTGTTCAGGTTTTGGACCTGCATCCCGCTTTGCATGGGAAACCGTCGAATATGGCTATCCACTAAAATAAGCTTTAAATTTAATAAAAAAAAAACATACACATGGGACACAAAACAACGTTAAAGACTGACTCTTTGCTACATTACTCAAACGATCGTCAGAATATGTCTAGTAATTACTTGACCATTTATGCACTGTCGACTTATATCCCTAGGATTTCTAACGCTATCTTTCTCATATGAATATTTCCCTATATATATATATATATATATATATATATATATATATATATATAAAAGCATTTCAGGCGGGAAGCCACTAGGGCGCAAGGGGTTAAAGAAAATTTAGAGCAAAATCAGATAGGTGTGATAGAAGAAAGGATGAGGGTAGTGGATAGATCAAGGCCACTGGAGATATTGATTGACATTACACTTGAATAGCTGGAGATTATAGCTCACAGGGAAACAGGAGATGGGAAGGGAGTTCCACAGGCGAGAAAATATTTATAAATCTACCATATTTCACTTGTATTAAAGCTTCATCAAAGAATGAGATATTCTGAAAGAAAGATTTTATTTTTTGAAATTTTCGTGTTTGATTTTTATTGGCTAAATAGGTATCACGTGCATTTTACTTATGAAGCAGCGTTGGCGTACAGAATTCAAGGAGAGGTGAAATGTCCTTTCGAACCTCGAAAGAATAACAGGCTTCAAGCCCAACTTGACTATATCCGATCGTTTGGCCGGATACCGATGCTTATTTGATCCCAATTCCTTCCATTCATATATATATGGTGATTTTCTTTCTTCTTTCAGTGATAATGTTATTACGTTTATCAGACAATATGAAAGGAATTTACTTAAAATAAATAGACAAAACTTGTCTATATTGTTTAATCAAACATGCATCAATACATACATACATATATATGTGTGTGTGTGTGTGTGTGTGTGTTTGAAAAGTGTATATAAATGTGACGTCCCCCCCTGGTCGCAGCGTCGACTCTGTCGTTCGATCTCGTTCGCGGCTCCAATTGTGACGTGACGTGATGTAGCCGCCCAAGGGTCGATCCTTGTCACGGACAGCACCAGTTGTGACGTTTTTTGCCGCGGCGTCAGCTGTTCGCTCCTCGCTGCTCCAAGTGTGACGCTCTAACCCTTTGGTTAGATGATTACCAGCCTCGCCGTTCCCAACTCGCTTCCAACACCTGGTTACTAGGGTAACTGTACTGATCTCCGGTCTGCCTACCCACGTTGTGATTAGATCTTAGACAGACGGGATCAAACAGGGATTGGGGGCCGTATGCAAGTTGAGTTCGACGAGGTGGCAACACACAAGTAAAAGAAAAAAACTCACGAGGCCAAAAAATTACTGATAAAAAAGGTAACAACCTTTTTATATCTAATGTTCGTTACATAAAAATTATTCTTACTTCCCGACCCGTTTTGTGGACTGTGGCACCAAGCTTCTACCATACAATTTAAAGACTTCGAGTTGCCTACTCTCTAGAAATTTGTATGTCGGAGTGTGGTTTGGCTTCGACACTGGGCGCTAATCTCTACCAATTGTTCACGGCTGATTCTTCTCTTCGGCCTGAGTTGGACGAGCTTATTCACTTCGGCTTGAGTTGGACGAATTTCTTCACTTCGATTTGGGTTGGACGAATCTCTGTTCTTAGGCTTGGTTTGATTTCAACTTCTTCTATGCGCAACTGCAAGTAACTTCTTCTTCGTCCGCCCTGCAACTCTTCTCGCCAAGGTCCGAACTCTTCTCTCTGCCGTCTGAGGAACTCAACTCTTCTCGCTGCCGTCCGGGGAACTCTAACTTCTCTCTGTCTGGCCTGCAATTCTTCTGCCTGTCTGGCCTGCAACTCTTCTGCCTGTCTGGCCTGCAATTCTTCTGCCTATCTGGCCTGCAATTCTTCTGTCTGTCTGGCCTGCAATTCTTCTGCCTATCTGGCCTGCAATTCTTCTGTCTGTCTGGCCTGCAATTCTTCTGCCTATCTGGCCTGCAATTCTTCTGCCTGTCTGGCCTGCAGCTCTTCTGCCTGTCTGGCCTGCAATTCTTCTGCCTATCTGGCCTGCAATTCTTCGGCCTGTCTGGCCTGCAATTCTGCTCCAACTTCTCTGCGGCTTTCGAGCAATTTTCTTCTCTTCGACTTGGCTGCAACTTCTCTGCCTGTCCGGGCCAAACGGACCGACCCTTCTTGCCCGCAAGGGGCGAATAAACAGGGCCCGCCGTCCGCTCTCCAACTGCTCTGGCCGTCCACCCCGCAACTCTGATTTCTGTCGATTGGGGTCCTGCTTTTATTGACGCCACAACAAACTGGGGTGGGTCTGTCGGCGCCAGGGTTTTCTTTATAATTCCAAAAGTCGCATTAGTTCTGATTTCCCATTATCGCTCTTACTCTCACCCCTACTTTCTCACAGTGCCTCTGGGGAGGCGCACACCCATCTCTCCCGGTCTCTCGTATGTCAGGTGACCGTTTTCGACCAATGGGTCCTGGTCGAGCGTCCTTTCTCCTCTTTCTCGCATATCACGTGACCGCTCTCGGCTAATGAGATTCTGGTTGGGCGTCTCGTCCTTCCTTCGTGACGTCTCTAATCGGGCGTGGCCTATCCGGGGCTTTGTTCTGGGAAGAAACCTTGCTAAAAAAAAAATCCCATTTGGCCTTTTTTTTTCGCACGCACGAAAATGACAATCTCGGCCTTTCTCACCTTTTTGGCTTTTGTCAAAACAGCCCGCCGCTAATTAAATATGACTTCAGGAAGAATTTTTCTCGTCTTGCTGGCGCTTTCTGTGAGCCAAAACAATTGTTTTCATTCCTTTATTTTCGCTCAGGTCTGATAGCCAAAATCTTAATTATCTGAATTGAAAATATCTTCGCTTTATCATCGTGGGGGTTCTTCAACTCTAGAGCTAGTCAGGATCTGTATACAATTCCAGCGGTCACCTCTCACCCCAAAGACACCCCTTTTCGATTAATATTTCTTTTTCCATTGTTCTAAAAAATCCCATTTCTCCAAATTGATAATGAACTTCCACATTCCGCGGACACAAAAGTAGGCCAGGTGTTTTGACCGATTTTATTAATCGTCCGTCTTGATGTCTTTTCACTTGTACCATGTCTGTTCCCTTTCTTTCTTTTATTATCTCTAACAATTTCTATTGTTCGTGAAATTCGGTCAGGCGCGTTGGCCTAGATATCTCTTGACACCTGTTTTCGCTTATGACCGGCTTTTGCATTATCCATCTCTCCCTCTCTTTTTCTTTCTTTTCCTTTTTCTTTTTTCCTTCTTCTTCCCTTAGGATCGCCTAAATTCAATTAGAGAATTATTCTCAAAACTCAATTATTCTTCGTCTAAATAACTAACAACTGGTTAATAAACCGAATAAAAATACACCTAGTGAGCCAGATATTTCTATGAATATTTCTTTTTAGTTTTTCTAATAATGCAGGGTGCCACATAAATATAAATAAATATATATATATGTATAATTATTTATATATTATATGCGCGGTACTTATTAGAAAGCGCTCAATATCAGAGACAGAGACATATTTGGTTGGATTAATGTGAGTTTGATATTTGGTTTCACGCTTTAGTGATCGTCAGACAAACGACGATCGCTAAAGCGTGAAACCCAGGGTCAAAACTCACATCTATCCAACCATATATATATATATATATATATATATATATATATATATATATATATATATATATTTGGAAGCTTAACAATCGGGTGTGGGTTGCTCGTGGGATGTCACTGAAAACGATAATCAATTTATATCGAGAAGTCATTGTCATCACAATTCTTTATTGGGCAGAATTTTAGACGTCATGCAGGACGCACATCAACTTGATGCTTTTGTCTTCGTTCAATATGTGGTTATACACGGCAGGACAAAATCTCTAACCCTGATCTTTTCATCAAATGTGGCATCGGTGGTATCGAATCCTTTCTGATGCAATCACATCTAATCAGAATGATGATGATCGAATGCCGAAAATCCTTATGTATAGCCCACTTTTTCATGGTAAGCCTAATGTAGATCGTCTTTGGTTATGCTTCAAGGCCAAACTGAAATGTAATTTAAATGATGCGAACATCCCTATAAAGGAGTATGAACTTACCGTCAAAAATCGAGAAAACTGGAGAAACACCTATCACCGAGGAATAAATAACTTTGTAAAAAATCGTCTCAACCATCTGAGAGAATTATGAACCAACATTAATCTCGGGCCAATTCATCAGCTCATTTGACTCTCAAGCCTTCAGCATGTCCCTCGTGTGGACTGGTTTGCAAATTCCCTGCAGGATTGTTGTCTCATAAGCGACATAATCTTAAAAACTGAAATGAAAGACATTCATACGTCGAAAGCGACGGGAGAGTTCATTATATATATATATATATATATATATATATATATATATATATATATATATATATATAACTCGTTTGAAAAAACCCTCGAATTTTTGATTTGCAAATCAATCTCGAGGGAAAAAAAAAGTTTTAAAAAAAGAAAGAGCTACAAACATGAACTTCTGTTGACAAAAAATCGCAGAGATGCAGGTCTGAAGCCCAAAGAAAAAAAACCCGATACGAGTAAAACTAACTAACAAAGCGCTCAATACAACCGTAGAGCAGACCTAGATGCACCTAGTGAGCCAGATAAACCTACCTCGCTTTCACCTAAACGGATCGTCAGGGAAAGTCGGCTAAAGAGGCAAAGAGAAACACATATTTATAGGCGATAGCTAAAATCATACCACTCTTTGCCTCGTTAGCCTGACTTTCCCCTGACGATCCGTTTAGGTGAAAGCGAGGTAGGTTTATCTGGCTCAAAGGTGTATGTATGTATCTATCTATCTATCTATCTATCTATCTATCTATATATATATATATATATATATATATATATATATATATATACAACACTAATAATCTTATAAATATAAGCAGCTATATACTGTCCGGCAAAAACCTTAGGTGTTTTAGTTAGTAAATGAACAAACCAATACACAAAGGGAAAAAAGGGTAAAAGGTAGAAGAACATACACTTCCGGTGAAAATAATCGTCTAGAAGATAAGTTCAGAGTCCAAAAAAAAAAAACCCCGACATGAGTAATGTAAAATAACTAAGTAAATTGCTCAATACGCTAAGTCGGGCAAACTAAGTAAACCTAAAGAGCCAGATAAACCTACCTAGGTTTTCACCTACGCGGATCGTCAGAGCAATTCCGTCCTGACGATCCTCGTAGGTGAAACCTAGGTAGTTTTATCTGGCTCTTTAGGTTTACTATATATATATATATATATGGTTGTATAGATGTGAGTTTTGTGACCTGGGTTTCACGTATCGATCGTCAGACAATGTCTGACGATCGCTAAAAGCGTGAAACTCAGGTCACAAACTCACATCTATCCAACCAAATATGTTAGCTCTATCTCTGATATTGAGCGCTTTCTAATAAGTACCGCGCATATAATATATAAATAATTATACATATATATATTTGTTTATATTTATATACACTTTTCACACACACACACACACACATATATATATATATATATATATATATATATATATATATATATATATATATATATAAGACCCAAACACTATTATTTCATGGTTATAATTTATTATATTGGAATCGTCATCACGATCCAATTCATCAGACCTACAAATTCAAACGGAAATCGGAAAATATAACTCCGGGTATAAAAAATAAAATTTTAGTGAGAGTGTATGTGTGGGTGTGGGAAACAAGTGTGAGGGTGAAATTTATGAAAGCTCTAGAGAGGGGTGTAACAGAAGAAAGAAGGACAGGAAGGCCTAAAGGTGAAGGTGGGGATTAAAATTTAACAGAGAGAAGTTTTAAAGAGAGGTGTTAAATAACGGTTTAAATGAGTGAGATACAGATAAATAGGAATTATTTTTCGATGCATAAATCACTACAGATTCGCTGGATTTTAAGTTTAGATCATATCGATTTGTTTTGTTTGTTTTGTGTTTTTTTTTATTGTGCGTAACCACAAATTTATCCACGCGTTTCCTCTGCCTTTCTTTTTTTTTAATTTTAGGTCAGCGAATCTGTAGTGATTTATGCATCTGAAAATAATTCAAATTTATCTGAAGCAGTTTCTTTTAAGCAGTTAGATATTATATCTAATTACTATAAACGTTAATTTTAATGAGTATACGTGTTTGAGTGGACATCCTGTTATATTTTTAATTAGTAAAATTGTTTACCGGTCTCATCATCGTATATCTTATTAACGAAAATATCTGTTGAGAAGGACGTTTAATATAACAAGTCTTTCTGTCTCTAGCCTGTAGACATTAATTTCCCTATAAAAATAGGCATGTCAATTCGGACACGTACACTTTATATATAGCATTTATATAGTTGTAATTATGTTTTTGTGCATCTATGATATTGATATAACTTGTTAGCTATCAGACTCAATAGTAATTAGTTTTGTGTAGGAAAAGTGACTTCAATTAAAATATGAATGTTAAGATTCAATGAAATTAGCGTATATGCGAATGGTAAACAAAGGAAAATGAGAATAATGAATAATAAGGCAATAGAGGGAAGAAGAAAATGGAGAAATAGGCAGCACAACAAATCGGGAAATTAACATGAAAGAGAACACCACGAATGTTAGCGATAATAAATTGTTTTCCCAAGAAGGGATATAAAAATGAAGAAAATTTAAAAAGAAAAACATTCAAGCTGGCTAGAAGAAAATAACCTAAAAGAAGAATAGATATCAAAGAAATTGAAAGATGAAAACATTCTAAAGAAGATGCGAATAAGAAAAAAAAGTGTTTTTTTTAAAAAAAAGCCAAAAAAAACAAAAAAAAAAACACAACGAACACAATGACAAGAATTAAAAAAAAAAGAATAAAATTAGGAAATGAAAAAAAAAAAAACGATAATTGTGTGTATGAATTAAGACATGAGAAACGAGCTCTGTTCGTTTCTTATAAATAAACTTCCAGGCTGTCAGCCTTGATGAGAAATGCGCCTCATCAAACATCCACTGATGGCAGCAGCAGTCGCCATGTTGCTTTGAAACTGGTCTGCTCTGTATTTTTCCTGGGAAGCTGATCACACGCAGACGATATCAGTTGCAGAGTAAAAACGTGACTGACGA